AATGTTCACTGAAGAACTACAGAACAAAAATGTCTACATCAATGATTCAGCTATTTTGACATGTAAACTCAACCTTCCAACATATGAAAATGTTGAGTGGAGGAAAAATTACAAGCCGGTTGAAATTTCAAACAATTTAATGGTAATGAGCAAGAATGGCAATCATTGGTTAGCGATTTCCCGTGCATCATTAGAAGATACAGGTCAATATACGTGTGTATGTGGCCATATTTCAACTACAGCTGATCTTACTGTTATAGGTATGCTTTAATCGAATTATAACAACAATAGTGTGTTCTTTTTCAATTCTTAGAAACAGATAAAGAAATAATCATAGTTTACCATGGCATTATTTATAACTTTCAATCTAGTAAGCAAACCTAGTATATAAATATTATAACCAGAGCAGGAAGATTTTAGATTAGGCTTAAACTTAAGTTTGAATGTCTATCAACTTTATAATTTGTAAGTAAACAGTAAATTTGATTAGAAATAATCAAAATGACAATAGATTAGTATGATAGCAACATGAGCGAATATTAGTAACAGTCTATTCCATAACCAAATAATAGTTGTTACTTTGGTTACAAGGACTAGGGGGCTAAAATATTTGTACATTCACAGAAGAGATCATGTAAGGAAAATAATGTTATGACAACATTATTTTGGATTTCTTTGAGTACATCAATGGTAGACAAAACTTTTGCTTCATACAATAAATCATTTTAATGTACGATTTATTTTCAATACTAATATGTATGTAATTTTTTCATACATAATCGCAATATTAGATTTAATATCGAATTACAAAATTAAGAATATTCGTTCATTTATCATTATCACATCCTTCTGTAACAGATGAAGCATTAAGTGTGGTCGTTCATTGCCCAGTCAAGATTGAGGTTATTGAAAATGGAAACATTGAAATAGAGTGTAAGGTGAACCTGCTAACGAGTAAACCTGTTTGGCGACACAAAGGTGAACTTCTTCAATCATCTGGTAGAAAGGTTATACAAGCAAAGGGTTCTACACACAAATTGATGATCACGAATGTAACATTAGACGACGAGGGTGAATATACAGTGGACTTTGGGAATGTCTCATCTAAAACAACAGTTCAAATACAAGGTAAACATATATGAATGTTATCATTGTTTTTGTAATACCGACAATATTTATATAGTTGGTTTTAATCTCTTTCAGGTCCTTAAAAGTTGTTAATTTTATTTAATTTGTTTGGAACATAGCTGGTAAATCTAAATAGCAAACAATGCACTTAATTTCATACCGATTTGCCAGATACCAGAAAATCATTGGTGCAATTTTCTTCAATTTATTTCAGTTGAAACGGACCTTATACACAGAAAACAGATAACACAAGAATTGTACAGAAATTGGTTGAGAGGAGCTCTAGCGTTAAAGTATTTAAAAATAGGTTTAGAGGGTTTTTCCGACAAGGTTGTTCACAAACAACATAATGATCTAATGAAAAAACTTGGAAACTATTGCAACACTTGTACAGATGAAAGTCTTCTCCCACATAAGCAAGATCAATGCCCACGACAAAGAAAGCATCAATGTTTATGTACCAAAGTTCAGAAACTGAATTCAAGACAAATGTGTCCAAACGGGGGATTTTGTGGCAACGTTTATAATCAAATAGTTTATAAACATCGTTTTCAAGATCCATTATTCACAAATACAGATATCCAAAAATGGAGCAGTGATGCGTGGAGTGTTGCTACATGCTTTGTTAATACTACTGGCTACAAATGCAAGCGATCAGCTAAAGAGGTCGACTGCTCCGGTTTACTTAGTATGTGTATAAACAACATTGATATAGAAATAATGCTTGGAGAAGTTATCATCGATGGGAAAATAGATGCGTTTGCAAAGGTACACATCTTCACCACAGTAATCACTTGATGTTGTATGTAATTTCAATTGAACATTGTATATAAATGTATATATTTAGCATTTATTATGCAAGTTTAGAACAGTCTTTTCGAATTGGTTTTATAATTGATTAATTTATAAGTGAAGTTTTTTTATCAACAAATTAAAATGAGACTTTAGATACTGAAGTGTTACTTTTACAGGCAAGGGAAGCGAGGAATGATATTCTTCACAGTCCAAACTATGAACTGTCTAAAGATGAACTAAACAAGTTTATCAGAATGTTCAAAGAAGTACTAGAAATCAAGGACAAACATGGTAATACACCTTTGAAAGGGGAGCCAGGCGTAGAAGAATCATTACGTTTACTAGATATGGTAATAATCCTATTGGAATTATATAGTTTAACGTTTAAGGAAGTACTAGAAATCGAAGACAAACATGGCAATACACCCCTTAAAGGGAAACCCGGTGTTGCACACGCATTACCTTTACTAGATATGGTAATTAACCTATAACAGTAATGTAGTAATAATAATGACAATATAAGCCGATTTGGGATACATTTTATTCGTTTTTATTAGAATTTGTGTGGATTTAAGCGTATTTCTCTCTAAATTAAGAATATGTTAATCAAATTTGTACTCGTATTTGTTGCATATTATACTTTAGAAAAATTCTGTATGTTTGCTACTTGTTATTTTTTAACAGATATATGATATAAAATAGTACGTTCAGTTTTGCATAAGTGTTAAAACATTTTATTGTATTCAGTAATTACATTATTGACTATAATAGTAAATACATTATTGACTATAATAGTAAGTACACAATCTTTGTCTGCTCTAACATTATAATGAATCACTTTGCAAAACGTGAGCTCGTTACTGTTTGACTTTTCACACATATACACAGACAATTATTTGGATATTAAAAATATTGCAACAATACAGGGTAAAAAATGATCAATAAAGCTTATTACATGTAAATAGTTCGACAGTTTGTTGTAAAACAAGATTGGATGTGTGAAAAATGCTATGTCACCGTATTAATATACCACTTGATAATAGTGCATGAACAGAAGACTTCTTCTGTTTGCATGTTTTGATATCAAAGTTTAATTTTACACCTAAAACTGTCCACATGATCCAAATTTCATACTTGTAATCAAAGGACAAAAACAATTTAACCTGTCAAAATTTAGGTCAGCTGCATGCAATATATTAAAATTCAATTTAACATCTCAAAGTGTGCACATGGTCCAAATTTTATGGCTGTACATCAAAGGACAAAAAAGAAGGACGCCGTCTCCTTGGGCAAGGGAAGACACAAATGTTAAATTGTCCGCGTCTTTTGAAGAAAAAAGGGGGATATAGAAATAGGCTTCGTCCGTCCAACAGTCCGTCCGTCACATTTTCGTGTCCAGTCCATTACTATGCCATTTATCAAAGGAATTTCAAATTACTTGGCACAATTGTTTGTTATGATACGACAATGTGTCATGCACAACAACCGGGCCCCTTCCTCCAAGGTCAAGGTCACACTTGTAGATTAAAGGCCAACGTTGTATTTTCGAGGTAATATGTCGTGCTCTGTCCATTTCTTTCTTATCAATGAAGGGATTTTGAAAGTTTTTGGCACAAATGATAACAATAATGAGACAATGTGTCATGCGCTAAAACCAGTCGCCTACGCATACCCCAAGGTCAATGTCACAGTTGGAGGTCAAATATTAACATAGTCTGTTACAGGGTATATTTTGTGTCCGGTCCAGAACTTCTTTATATATTAAGGGGATTTGAAATTATTATGGCACAAATGTTCACAATAATAAAACAATGTGTAATGTATGTTGAATTTTTGTAACATAATTACCAACGTCCCCGCCAAAGGGAATTTTACATAAAAGACAAAATTTGAAATAGCACAATTTTGTGTTTTATGTAAAATTCCCTTTGGTGGGGTCGATGTTAACACACACACACGCACACACACGCGCACGCGCACACAGAGGTGAACCGCTTTATTCCAAAGCCATGTATATACTGCAGCGGCAATAAATTTAAACTAGATAAATCTTAAGTTCATTTGTACCTATCCATGTATTACTTCATTTGCTTTCAAGTGGGGGAGGATCCCTTCCATTCTTATAAAACAATGTGCCAAATGTGTTTTTAATTTTTTTTGTATTGACATGAAAATTGTTCAAATGAGTTTACAGACCGGAATCCAATCATTATTTATTTTACAGGTGCAACAAAATCAAATTGAGATGAATCTTGAACGTGACGTGAGAGAATTGAGAGAGCATGGAATGTGTAGATTAGAAGAGAAATACAAGACAGCAGAAAAACAGGCAAGTTTTATATTTATAGCTAATGCATTTGAATTTTGTTGTAACATGATTTTACCGAGTACGGCCTATAAAGTAAGGGAATATTGATTTTTAAGTCTCATAAAATTTATAATAATTTTTATTGTTTCAAATGTCTTTGAAAAATACTGCGATTCTTAAGTTGCTACTCTATTTATTGTATACGTATGATTACCGAGAAAATCATGTTAAAACTTGTGCATTTAACCTGTCATTTTTACATGTCTCTCTGTTAAAAATCATGCACGCTTGAATATAAAGCCTCGTTTAGATTATTTGTAGCTTAAAGAATCACTGAGGCGTACAATACATTCGTGAGTATTGGAAAAGATACAATTTTTAATGACATAAAAGTGTTATGATGTAAATGTACTTTGTGGTCATTAACTGTTCTTATCTTCTGACTTCTATCTAAGGTAACCAAAGGAAGTTTTTAGACTTGGTGGTATCCGAACATTATCAGTGTTGCGTAAGTATTATATTAGGCCTAAGAGAATGAATATTTCCAAAATAACTAGAACTGCCACTATCATGGCGTGAATACCCCCGCATACCACTTTGTCAGAATCAACAGTGGCCATTTAGAGCTCAAGGACAACCTCCCTGCCAAATCTGAGGTTACTAAGCCAGTGCATTGCTAAGTTATGTATTCTACATGCTTCAAATGTGAAAATGTCAAAATCAATACATTGCGGACAGGACATTCCTTAGCAATTGAGAAGAAAAGCTTTTGTCAAGGTCCCTGTGACCTTGACCTTTGACCCAGTGACCTCAAAATCAATAGGGGTCACCTTATAGTCATGATCAACATCCATGCCAAATATGAAGACTGTGGGTCAAAGGAATCTTAAGTTAATGGGTGGACAAACTTTTTAAAGTCAAAGTCCCTATGACCTTGACCTTTGATCCAGTGACCTCAAAATCAAAAGGGGTCATCTACTAATCATGACTAACCTCCATGCCAAATATGAAGACTGTGGGTCAAAGGAATCTTAAGTTAATGAGTGGACAAACTTTTTGAAGTCAAAGTCCCTATGACCTTGACCTTTGATACAGTGACCTCAAAATCAATAGGGGTCATCTACTAATCATGACTAACCTCCATGCCAAATATGAAGACTGTGGGTCAAAGGAATCTTAAGTTATAGGGCGGACAAGCTTTTTGAAGTCAAGGCCCCTGTTACCTTGACCTTTGACCTGGTGACTTAAAGTCAATAGGGGTCATCTACTAATCATGACTAACCTCCATGCCAAATATGAAGACTGTGGGTCAAAGGAATCTTAAGTTTATTGGCGGACAAGCTTTTTGAAGTCAAGGCCCCTGTGACCTTGACCTTTGACCTGGTGACCTCAAAGTCAACAGGGGTCATCTACTTATCATGACTAGCCTCCATGCCAAATATGAAGACTATGGGTCAAAGGAATCTTAAGTTATTGGGCGAACAAGCTTTTTGAAGTCAAGGCCCCTGTGACCTTGACCTTTGACCTGGTGACCTCAAAATCAATAGGGGTCATCTACTTATCATGACTAATCTCCATGCCAAATATGAAAACTGAAGGTCAAAGGAATCTTAAGTTATTGGGCGGACAAGCTTTTTGAAGTCAAGGCCCCTGTGACCTTGACCTTTGACCTGGTGACCTCAAAATCAATAGGGGTCATCTACTTATCATGACTAATCTCCATGCCAAATATGAAGACTGAAGGTCAAAGGAATCTTAAGTTATTGGGCGGACAAGCTTTTTGAAGTCAAGGCCCCTGTGACCTTGACCTTTGACCTAGTAACCTCAAAATCAATAGGGGTCATCTACTAATCATGACTTACCTCCATGCCAAATATGAAGACTAAGGGTCAAAGGAATCTTAAGTTATTGGGCGGACAAGAAAAAACCGACGGACAGCCGGACGGACGGACGGACGGACGGACAAGCTGATTCCAGTATACCCACATACAACTTTGTTGTGCGGGGGTATAAATATGATTACAATTTAGTTCTTTCTTCGTCGTGTTGATACACGATTAGTGCATGGTTCGAAATATATATATAATGCAACATTTAAACCTTTTTTTCTTCAGCGTGAACTGAAACTTCAACTTATAGAGCAACAAATAAAAGGTTTGTCCTTGACTTTTAATTTGAACAAATTAGAGCTTACCCTTATGCAAAAAGTCTTCCAGGTCATTAGACCATGTTTCGAATCTAAAAGTACGTGCTTTCGAGAAACATGCATAGTTCAAAAATCCTGTGTCCGTTTGAAAAGAATGACAATTTTTCTTTTAAATTCAACGAATTCATAAAAATTTTGGTTCTTTTTAATGATAGAACGGTTGGATTCGACAAAAGTAACATTATGCATAATTGACAAAAGGTTTTAAACATATGTTATCTACTGATATACTCGTACAAAATGTATAAATACCTACAAAGAGAAAGAAGAATTAAAAAAAGAAGCTACTTTTGAAATGAAAATGTTGTTTGAATAGACATTTATCAGGAAATAGGTATTTGAGGATTTCACACTATAATAAATTTATATAAATGAGATCATGCAAGAAATATTTTCTTTAAAAAACGTCTTTATTTCTATAAAAATAAACAATGAAAGAACATCATTTTTTTTAAAAAAAAAGTATTGCTTGTAAAAGAATAATCAAGAAATAATTATCGTAATTTTAATTAATAGAAAACATTCCCGAGTTTGCAGACTTTGTCTTTTAAGTGGCTTGTAACTATAAACAGAAACAGTGTTGTTGTTCTTGTTTTAAATTGTTTTAAAGTTAAAACACACAGGTGTTGGTCTGTTGAAATTATCTTGAAAAATATCTGGTCTAAAGATGTATTCTATCCATTTATATACACGCCGAATTAGTTAAAAATAGGATATGCATATACTCTGTTTAACATCATTGAATATTATTTACATAAATTTCCATTATTGCTCGAGTTGTGTTTTTATTTACAGATAAAGAAAATGAGCTTCAGCTTATGCTAAATCTTAGATCTGCGGGAAAACAAAAGAATCTTAAAGGTACTTAATGAAAAATAAATACTTAAAAACCTTTGACTTCACCGCTCTTATTTGGTAAGAATTAAAGATTTGTTAACAGTGAAAAGAAGACAAAACGAAAACAGATAAAGAACATAAGGTTATTTTATATATTCCTTTCTAAAACGGGTTGAACTAGCTATATTTGAAATATATCAAAATTCATAGTCAAAGAACCATTTCCTTGTTGTTCTTGCATAAAAACTGCGCATGTAGGTGCATATTAACGTAGACGGAAACATGCTTTTACAGATACAATTACGCAAGCATGAACGTTTTTAATATGCATGACTCAGGGCGATATGTATAACGGATATAAACGGCAAGTCATGACGACACCTGTTACAGTTATATGGAAAAAATAACGAAACGCAAATGTAACTTTTTGAAGAATAGCGATACTACAGAATGTGTGCCTGCATTATATCTGCATATTTTGATCCATGTTAAAGCGTGCATTAATTCTTTATTATGTTTTTTTTCCAGAGCACTTCTTGCTTGATCTACAGATAAATGTTATTGCTAAAAATGGTGAAAAAAGTGCTGAAGGGAATCAACGAGTATATGAAGTAATGAGAGACTATATTAAAGATAACGATGATATGACTGGTTCGTCTTTTGTTGAAAGATCAACTGATACACCAGTCTATCACCTCGTAGATTTCATCAAGGCCATAAAGAAATGCAGTATCGTTGATATTTTTCCCTCTGACCAATCGTCAACAGACATAGAAATCAACTTCTACAGTTCGAGCGTCATGGAAGATTTTCTCAAGTCTATCATCAGTAACGAATTTCAACAAAAACTGTTTGACCTTAGACGATGGCTACAAGTGAAATATGACATTGAATCGTATGACATAATGGCTAATTGCTCATCAAATGGCATAGAGAAAGCAAAACAACGTTTGCGTGAGTTAAATATGAATAATAATGATTTATGATACCTTTTATATTTAACAGTGTTTTCTGCTCCTGTCGGTGCATTTGTAATCAGTGCATATTAATAGTATTAATTGATTTATCAAAATTAATTAAAAAATTGTTAGCTCTATATTGTTAAGACATCTAAGGATTATTGAAAAACGTAATACGTTGATATTTTTTATTCTGTAATCACAAAAACATGTACATATATTTGAAAACGTAAAACTACTGTCTTCAGACTTTACTGAAGTAACCAGATCTTTGACTTGTGCCGAACATCAAAATACACATTGTACTCTCTATTGTCCTGACCATGACACGTTTTTATGTACAGCATGCAGAGAATCAAAACATGGGTAATTATACATTTCTTAAAATCAGTAATTTATAGTGGTTAATATAGAACAAAAAGTATCAAATTAAACAAACGAATTTAAAAATCGTGCAACAATGACCGATAACTTATCTGTCAGAAACATTTAAGTTTGATTATCTCTTTAAAAATTTGTAAACAAATTAGAAGAATTTATAGTTTGGAAAAAAGATAATCATTTGATACTTTAATTGACCCGACACTTTAATTGTATCCCTCATTTTAGCATATTTAAATAATTTAAATTTATTTGGTAAGTAAAACGAATGAAATATATTTTATTCATCACCTTTGTAAAATATTCGAGTGTTGGCAGAATAATTAGTCTTTTCTTTAAAGCGATTGGCCGATGTAACATTTGGTCTACACTGAGATATAGTGAGCGACTAAATAGTTTCTTTTGGTTTTGACCCCAGTTGTTGCTTTGACGTTTGTAACATCCGAGGTTAGCGAAAATTATCCCTTTCTGTTTCCGGAGTTATATGACCTAAACTGTGTTGACGAGTACGCCGTAAAACAAAACAAACAAACAAAGCTTACAAAATATTTTATATCGGCAAATTCCAGCATTGCTAATAGTTCTTTGTATTTATTTAACAGTTAACTTTTAATTAGAATAATACCTTAATTCATGAAAAAGTGCAAGGTATTTATTAAAAGGATATTACGCGCTGGTTTGTCTTTTGTTTTGTGATATTCTGACATGCTCATTCTTTACAATTTACCAAAATTTTTATTTTAAGCTTGTAATTGCTGTTTTCACATTTTTATACATGTTTTTGTTTCTTGAAACTGATCGTATTTATTTTATTTTGTAAACATGCAAACTATTATTGCATGATTATTATTATTATTTTTTTTTATCTTATCAATTATCAAAATTAGCTCTTTAAAATGATGCGATGCACAAACATAATATCAACAGCCTTCTGTGTAATTTAGTTACTAATACATTGGTTTTTTGTTTTTGCGCTGTAATTGGCCCTTCATTTATAGGGCAGATAATTTGTACAACTTATGAAAGTAACAACCATTGATTCAAACATCATATCAACAGCCTTCTGTGTAATTTAGTTACTAATACATTGGTTTTTTGTTTTTGCGCTGTAATTGGCCCTTCATTTATAGGGCAGATAATTTGCACAACTTATGAAAGTAACAACCATTTTCTTACCATGAGGAATTTACACTTCGATTTTGAACAACATTTTTCTTAGAGGTTAATACTTAGATCCCCTGCTCGCCATTGTGCGATAATGGCCCGACGATGTTCATAATGACAAGAGGACCGCAGAACCTCGGTGTCCAATATCACCACACGGCCGGTAGGAAACAATTATTAACGTTTTTAAAACCTACGAAATACCGTTGATGTCATCGTGGTCAGCAAATTTAATGTACTGTACGTCATTCGAAAAAATGATGACCAGCTAAACGTATTGCACTATCGTATTATCGTCATCACATTTTCACATTGTCGCATTATCGGACCGTCGTCATCGCATTATCGCGCCGTCGTATAACCACGTAGACCTTACGGTTTTCCATAAATACCTACATTTCAATATCGCCGCTAATCTTGGTTGTCGCGATTTCTAAGAAACGTTCAGGTTGTCAATTTATACAAATATGTCTAACATTCAGTTAACAAAATAGCAATTGATAGAAGGAAGGAGTGCAGACCTTTTGCACATATGCTTATAAATAAACACGAAACTTACAGAATTATAGGTACAAACAAAGTGTTCATACATTTGGTTATAATACAGGCTGGTTTTTTTTATACACCAGTTTTTTGGCAAATTCAACACATATTTCTGAGCGCTTTAAATATGATTCAATACCAGAAATTAATTGAAATTAGGTGTGGATATAGTTTTCCCCAAATACAAGTGCATACGATTATATATGAAATTGATATTGTATACACGTACAGTCAGTTTTATACGTGCAATATAAATTGATAGAATGTGTATGCATAAACCTAGAAATCTACACCTTTTCAATCTTCGGGGCACTGAATTTCAATAACCGTTTTCTGTCTGTCATACATGTGTATATGTACTTTTATGTCTGTTAATCTCGGGTACATGTATAACCATGTACATTCAAAAATGGCTTATACTCTTAATGTTAATAAACTTGGTTATAGAAGCATTCTTAATGTGGAACAGATTGCCCTGATTCTTTCCAGTAATGACGGATACATAATAATTATGAACTGATTTACGCTCGATCTAACGGACTTATACTTACCAAAGGCTGTCTGTGCGTGGCTTGGATAAAATACATGTACATGAACACGCCCACTCATTTTTATGCCCCTTAAGGGAGGCATAATATGATTGCACCGTCTGTCTGTCCGTCCGTCCGTCTGCGAGTTCCCACTTCATTCGTGTCACGACTGTAATTTTGTCATACATTTTTAAATAACTTGACACAAATGTCTACTACATCAAGACGATGTGTTTGCGCCAAGAACCACGTCCCTGCCTCAAAGGTCAAGGTCACGCTTTTATTTTGAAGTTTCACATTATCGCAATTAGAGTAAATAGGTACGCACATTCGTGTCCAGACTATAACTTTGTCATGCATAGAATGATTTAAAAAAAAACTGGGCATAAATGTCACATAATCACAATTAGAATAAATAGGTACACACAATCGTGTCCGGGCTTTAACTGTCATGCATAGAAGGATTTTAAAATAATTTAACATAA